ATTGAATTATCTTACTCATAAACAATCTTGTTTGTGCAATAATTAAGATCTCTTGCAGTTTAATATGTAATGAGAAAAAGAAAAAGTTATTTTGCATAAGTCGATAAGACGAAGTTTCTACAACTGAATAATTTGTTATGTAGGAGTCTTACACGTTTTCTTTATGTTGATCGTAGTAGATCTTTATATCATTAATTTATGTAAAGTGTATTCTTAACTTATTTACTCTTCTTTTCATCAACATTGCGATAGAAATTTCCTGATAATTATAAACACGATAATCAAGTTTCAGTTTTGACTGATAATAAAATATAAATACAGTATTATCATAATGTAGTCCAATCATTACTTTTTATCATACAAATCAAAATTGTATCATTCCTGTTATCACCTAAATATTGCTTTATTTATGTTAGTAAAATATTTCTGACTACAGAGTTTAATTCTTAATATTTTTCTTTCACCTTATATATGTAGACTTAGCTTTTATAGAAAGGGAACGTGTGTGTTTCAGTTTATTTCGTTCCTCAGCAAAGTAAAGATTGAATTAAAGACAGAGAATACACGCGGGTAATATCGATAACGTCGATCTGATGGATGAATTCTCGTCAAAAATGAATATTACGAGATCGCAAAGATCAAAGTGTGATATCTTCGCCGAAGCTATAAGCAATTCCGTTCCCGATCTCAGCGAGGATGCAAATTATTATAATTGATTCCAGAGAAGAAACGATGGGAAAAAAGTAGGAGAGATATGGAAATTGGTGTGTGATCAGACGCCTATAAAATTTTATTGAACGACATAATGCACCTTTAGTAGTGCAGTTACAATGTAGGGGGCGATCCGTCGCTCAACTTTAACCGGATATGATGAAAGAGTCCGTCGCCGATCAAGGTACTTATTACTACGATCAATGCGTTAGCGGAGAAGCACAGATATCGTGGAGATTTCGATGAGCCGAGTGTTCTTCGCTTTTCACCTTCCGGCGGTCGCGTACGCGCACAGATCTCACGGATGTCGGTTTTAACCGAGATAAATCATTTTACCGTTAGAGATGCACCCTTTGTATCCTCCCTTACGAATCAATCAATTAACCAGACACTTATCAAACGCATCGTCAATCAACTAAAATTTACATCCTTCGATATGTTTTTGGATATGTACGGATTAACCGTTTCTATCTTTTCAAAAACAGAAGAGATCTTTGAAAAAAAGTTCTTCCTGGTTATTCTCTGTCATTGAGATGCTTGAAATATGTTTCGTTCTTTGCCTTTACAAAATGTAAAAATTTATCTTATCCAATAGCAGTGAGAGTCGTCGCTCCATGCCCCCGATGCAATCAGCCGTGCCTATCCGAAATCTCGCCAGTTTCGCTCGTAACGGAAATATATATATGCGAAATGCAAAAAGATCGAGAGAATATACGTTTAGAATACACGACGTGGTGCATCTTCGATTTGCGCGCATTTGAGATTTGAATCCTTTTAAGAGCCGATTTGGATTTCAAATGTTGTGGGCCCCGGTCGCGCGACTATCTCGCATTCAACGGACTCGATCTTCTCCCGGTCACCCCCTCCACCCCCTCTCACCCGTCATATTACGCTATCGTGCATCGACAACGTGCGGGCCCTGTCGATCGGTCGGTGCGCTCCCGCGTCTTGTGCCCTCGATTTCGGGATAGGCATAAAAAGATTCGATCACTCGATCCGCACGGTCAAGATCCGTGCACAAATTGCACGTATCGACGCGACGTGTGCAACCGACGGCGAATTTGAAAGTTTTATATATAGCGTGAGAGAAAGAGAAAGAGAGATAACAGCGACGGATACCGAGCGATATCTTTTGCCGTTCGGTCGTGCGCGTGGCTTAAAAAGAAACAAAAAGAAATTTTGTAGTCGGATGAGAGCTGTTACGTGTCACATAACTGCTATCATAGAATTTTTTGGTTATTCATATTTTTTAGACTTCTTCAAAAAGGATCTGTAACAAATAAATGATTGAGCGTAATACATATAATAGTACATATTATACCCTATATATAGTATATTAGACTTTTATTGCTATTGTTTGTGTCGCAATCTTACACATATTGTCTAAAACTTTTAAAGTAAATCATCGTCTGAAGAGTCTTAAACCCACTATTTTTCAAGACTGACTGCAAGTTTTACTTTTTAAAATAAAATTTCTCTCCAAAGAATCTAGAAAGTAAAGATAAAAATGGATTTTTTAATTTTTCTTTGAAATCATCTGGCACTACTGTATCAAAGAAAGTATGTAATAGTCCTATCTGACGGATTCTGTTTTCCTTAATTAACAACTTTTATTATTCAATAATTCTCTTTTCTCGAAATTATAGATTGTTCCATTTAGTTATGATTATCTTAACAAAGAATCGGTTTTCTAATTTGTGTTGAATTTGAGATTTACAGTTCTCATTAGTATACTTAGTTGTAATGAACGTACCTTCGATCGCAGTATTACAATATATTGTAATATTGCTTACTTGTCGTTTGAATAAAGCTTGGTCAAGAAGAGGGACTAGTGTTTGAGATCTTCTCAATATTTTAAAATGGTAAAATATTGCACGTAATAGAGCGCGATCGTTTTTCGTTTAACGGCACAGACAATACATAAAACATTTCTATGCGGCCAGTGACCAACGGGGAACGCACTTTCGCAATTTTTTTCACTTTCGTGCTCCTTGTTCCGTCACAAGGACAACGTTAGAGAAAGAATGATTATATTAATTGTAATACAACAATATCAGTTGAATAATATAATAAATAATATATTGCTTTTACCAACACCTCTTAATAAATATTTACCAAGTATTAATTTGGGAATTCTATCTACATATTCCTTCTTCTTAAGAAGCGTTCATCAGGATGTCTCGAAGTACTCTTATTTTCTTTTTTTTCTTAAGGGTACTTTCTCCAGCCTTGTACTAATCGGGTATGTAGTGTGTTGAACGGGCGTTACATGATCGCGATATTCCTCATCGTGCCGATTTAACCCGTTGACACCGGCGTCGCCGCCGCCGCCGCCGCCGCCGTCGCCACACATCGACAGTAGCCGGCTGACTCGGTGCCCGAACCCTTTCGACTGTTGTAAAGCCGGTGCTTTGACGAACCCGCCGCGCCGGCCGGCGATTTGCAAGAGGAGAACGAAGCTAAGCCTCGTCACTTTCTACACAAGGGAATCGCGGAGGCGAGCGACCAGGGGGAGAGGAAGAGTTCGTACATGAGGAACGGTGGGGTATGGCGGGTCGCGCCGGGTGCGACGGTCGGGAGTGCGGGTTCGTCAGAGGGCGGCAGAGGGGAGCGGCACTCGCGGCGACGGCGGCGGCGGCGGCAGCAGCGGCGGCAGCAGCGACGACGACGGCGACGGCGGTGGCAGAAAGGGTTGGGAGCGAGGGAGGAGGAACGCGCAGGGGGGCATTCGTTGGCGGCGGGTGTAGGTATACGTTCGGCCCCTACGACGCGAGTGCGTAAGATACTACGGGAGAGAATACCGAGACGGAGAAAGACGTCGCAGCGTTCGAGCGAAGGAGGGAGACAGCGTGATAGCGGAGAGGATAGAGGGAGAGAAAGAGAGAGAGAAAGAGGAGAGGGAAGAAGAAAGAAGAAGAAGAAGAGAGGAGGAGGCCACTTCGGACATATATGCGGTGAGAATTCGCGCCTCCTGTCTCAGTGCTTGACAGGCCGGCAAGCTCTTAAGATCCATCGGGGTTTTACCAGTCCGTCACCTGAGCCGTCGCTGCCCACGCACCATCACGCATCATCATCCACCACAGTTGTTCTCCACGGGAAACCCACCCACAATTTTGACGATCGGCATCCTCAAACGAGGGTGAAGCTAGTTGGTATCGCGAGAGACTGGTACCCGCAGTAGTAGCAACTCGGTGGTGTCAGCCAAGTCAGAATACCGGAAGTGAACAGGAAGAAAGGAAAGAAGAACGAGGAAAAGAGCACGCGGCAAAGCAGGACCAATTGACGAATTGGTCCAGGTAACCACCAGTTCGGATTTGACACCATGACATCCGAAGCGTGTTTGATAGGAAACAGGATCTGTCCCTGAACAGAGTACAGATCGTACAGCGCGTTTCGGAACTACAGCCAAACTGGCGCTAAAGCCTGAAGGTCATGAGGATGCAGCCGGCCGCATGATTGTTCAGGACACTTTGCACAAAGTCCCGTCGAGACCCTGAAGTGCCTTGTGATTCTCTCTCACTGTGATTGATGTGCGTGAGAACGGTTTTGGTGAACCCCATAAAGTGGAGTGGATCGCTCGGAAAATACATACCGGCGATTCTTTCTCTCTTTCTCTCTCCCTCTCTCTTTCTCTCTCTCTCTCTCTCTCCCTCCCCTCCCCTCCCCCCCTCTCTCTCTCTCTCTTTCTCTCTCTCTCTCTTTCTCTCTTTCTCGATTTAATTGCATCTTCTGTGTAATCGAAAAGACTCGAGCTTTCCACGGAGTTAATAAATTTGTGACGTAGGACGGAAGAAAGCGAAACTGGATCGTGCAGATCGCGATCGTGATCGAGGCCGGTCGCCTAGTTCCGGCGGAGGACACGATAAGGGGACCAGGCGGCTACTGGAAGTGGAGAACGTATGGTTGCGTAAGTTCAGGAAGAAGCTGGCGCTGCGAGATAAACGACGAAGAAAGAGACTTTCTTCGCGAATGAGACCGGCGCTATATGAAAAGAAGTAGAAGTGGAGAACACAGAAGAATCGTGAAGAGGAAGGATTACTTTCTATAATTGTGAGAGTCCATCTAAGGGGCAAAGTAATAGGAACGATAAGGCCTGACACAGTGCAGGGATTATCAGAGATTAACAAAGAACGATTTTATTAAGGGAAAATTAAGAAAATTCGAAGGTCTTGTCTTGAGAAAAGACAAGGACTTGGCGGGAACGACGATGCCATTGATCATCTGATCGTTCCTTTCGCGACGAAAGCCGATCGTAGAGCTTGATCCGACCAAGGGCGACCTTGAACAAGATGGTCACGAGGGCGCTGCTATTACTCTCGCTGGTCCTCCTCGATGCCTTTGACGCGCCTGGCATCGAGAGAGCCCACGTCCGACACTTGGCGATGGCCGGTAACGCCTGCAACGCTTGTAGGATGCATGAGGAGATTCGCGCGCTTAGTTTGGAAGCGATCAAGGAGCAAATCCTGAATAAACTCGGCTTGAAACAGGCGCCAAATATGACGGGTCGAGCTCTGCCGAGGATCCCGCCGATCTCGAAGCTGATGGACATGTACGGGATGCAGGCTGATCAGCCTTTAGAGCCCGGTATCACACACCACGAGGAGGTCGACGAATACGCCGCGAAGACGGAGAGTGTCTTTGCCTTAGCGCAGCCTCGTAAGTTTCTTCTTCCGTTTCCTTCCTTCTGGATACAGGGTGTCCCATGAGGTGAGAAAGAGGAACTGAATAGGATGGGTAGAACATAATAATGGGTAGAACATTTTATTTGGTCTTGTTTTTCCCATGTTTGTTATCATTTTCGAGATATAGCACAAATTTATACAGTTTTTAGTCTTTCAGTTCCATGGAACACTCTGTATTGTTAAATAATTTCAAAAAAATTTTATGTGTATTTTTATAGTTCACAAAAATTGTTTAGAGAAAAATTAATTCTTATATTTATCTCTATATGAGAAAAGTGTTGATATAGATTATAGTAAATTTTTCTATCAAAAAAGTTTAGTAAAAACCTGAACTTGTTTAAAATAATTTAGATTCTATTAAAAATTCTATATACTTTCATCGCGGTCTATTAATCTTAAAGAATAAAAGAATACTAATTCAATTATGTACAATTTTTAAGCTTTTATCGTACATAACTCCAAAAAAAAAATTAATTGTCGGAGTACTTAAGTTCTGTGAAATCCGCGAGAAGTATTACTCTCCACAGTATTTAATTAATGTATGCTCTCGCAACGCAGTGAGCATGGTATTGAAAATTTTTTGCAACGAAATATCAAACGCAACGTATGTGTTGTGTCGCGGTTCTTTTTTTTGCGAGATGTTTAGTCTGATGATGCACGATTGCAAAAACCCGTTGTGCATATCTTAGCAAAAGGTAGCGTTATCCTAAAGATCATGCCAGCCAGGCGCCAGGTTCGCTCAGAATTAATTACCGCGAGTGGTAATATTTCATACACGACACCGATCATGTTTTCCTTGGCAACGTCAAGTAAATTAACCTCAGCGACTCGGCGATCCGTCCGGCGTGACTCGCGCGAATGTATGTACACGCTCTCGCATGCAACATTGTGCATATACTGAATTGCATCGTATCATCGCCGCTGATGAGCATCTTGTAACTTAATAGTGTCGAAGTAACAATTATATAATTGGCTCTCACATCCGACATCCGTTGCTGTTAACTCTACGATTTACCAAATGAGTACCGTATAACTCACTTGCTGCACGCATGTTCCTTTATTTATATTCTTTTAATTTTTAAAAAATATATAATATGTATATCGGAGGAGAGAATCGTACACAGAATCGTATACAAAGAAGCGCAACAGAATGAAATTAAGAATCAGAAATATTCATAATAACTATAGGTAGCATATAAGAAACATCTTAGTAGATTTTAGACCTTTCAGAGGTTCTTCCCAACTTTTGCTAGGTAATTACTTATTGTGGAAATTTAATCAGGGAAAACTATATATGTTGCGCGCTCACAAATAATATGCAACGACAAATATTTCTAACAATTAATCTTACGTTATATCTGCATAAGTTGCAACAGAGTGTACACTTGCAATCGCTTATTGTCGAAATGGGAAGAGTAAGTGATAATCCGATGACGCAAGGTGCACGGTATCAACGATAATTGACAGGTTGTATGATTTATTATTGATTGCTACCCAAGATGTACTAAAAATTAGAAGTTTTACCACGACAATCAGATCAAAGAGGAGGTCAAGGATATCATGTTTTCGGGGACACCCTGTATGCGCTCCGTGCATAATATACACTTGTTAAGGAGCAGAAGGAGCTCCAAACGGTCCGCCGCCACACGAGTCCCTCGGGCGAAACTGTCTTCGAGCCACTTGCCGCTAAGCACGTAATAGTGGCGGTAGAACCGCAACCTGTTATTAAGGCCCCCGTGTTCGCGAAAAAAGAGAGAGAGAGAGAGAGAGAGAGAGAGAGAGAGAGAGAGAGGGAGAGAGAAACGAAAAAAGAAAAAAAGAGGAAAGGGAAGAAACAAAATAAGATCAACGACCTGCTTAGGAACTCAGATCGGCAAGGGAGACCGATCGTGGTCTCTCGCTAACCGCAAGACTGGCGTGCTTTCTTTCTAGGCGAATCTGAATTTTTTATAAGCGTAATATGCCCCGAGCACGATGGTGAGTTCACCGGCGCAGCGTGGTGCGGCACCGGCCGCATTGTGGCCGATTATCGCGTATCGCGCGATTACAGACACTTTGGCATTCCGATAAAGCGTTGACTTATTATTATCTATATCGCGTCAATTATAGCTTTATTTTCCAGCGCTGCAATCGGGATACGTGAGTTGAGATTGAAGGTCTTGTAGTGAACTCGAATTACTAATTGCAAATGTCGAAGGCTCGTTTGCTCATAATGGTGATAAGGCATAAATCCTTCACTTTTGTGCAAAAGATAAACCACAGGGAAAAAAAACAAACATAAGTTGGACGATTTGCTATTAGTAAATTAAACTAGTGGTGAAAGCTATTTTTCCATTACATGTTATTATCATTTTTTCTTTTTTATCACATAAATAATTATATTATAATTTTGATTACTATTACATAAATAACTATATTATAATTTCTATCATATAAATATTCACATTATTTTGCATTTGAAGTGAAAGTGAAAGAAAGCTTCTAAAAATAGGTTGCAAAAAATTATTTTAAATATTTCATGATTGGAACAGAATACTTCGTAAATTATTTCTGAAAGAGTAAACTTCCTCTAAAAGAAATTTAGTAAAAAAAAAAAGGAAGTAAAAAAAAGGACAATGCAAGATATTTGATTAAAATTGCCTATCTCAAAAATGTAGCCGTTGTACTATTTATAGATAGCATTCATTTGTATAACCAGCTTCTATGGTCTATTCTAAACGTTTCAAACCCTCTACAAGGTACTACATCTTCCATTGTACATGTTATAGTATGGCAGTCAACGTCGTACGATGTGCTTCCTAAACTGATCTTGCGGTATTGCAGCAGTCGAAAATAAATGTGCATGTATTTAGCATTGCCCAGATAACGAATGGCAAAGCGCCAACAAGAGTTCAAAAGTTACACCCACTGTTCAGCAATATCGGTGAGATTAATAGCCGGAACGATTTAACGAAAGAAAAAAAAAAAGAAAAAAATATGCATATATAGTTATGATAATATGTTGTTAACGTATCGAGTGCGTGAGTAAAATGCGCGACCTGCATTGCAAATGTTCGAAAGCGCCGGCTCTCGGTATCAGTTTGCTGTCACTGTCGTCACTTGGAATAGAATTTGGAATAGAAAATAGCATCGAAAGTAAGCAGAAAAAAGGAATGACTAACTGGTATCGCATTTACGATAGGTTATCGGGACCGACCTCTTGTCTCTCCGTCTGATCGTTCGTTTTAGTTCCCCTCTGCGGGGAACAATTTTTGAAAATCCGTCCATGTAAATTTTCTCTAGCATGTATTTTTGTTCTTGCCTTTCTATATCCGTCTACGTTACTCGCCGAAAGTTTTTGGCTGGTTTTAGAATATGTGTGTAATGGAATGACGACATTGACGTTTGTAAAACTTATTTGTTTATAGTTCTTTAATTTTTATTTTTTGTTTATCTTCTTTTCTCTTTTTAAATTTATTTTTATTTCTTCTTTGTATATTTTATCGCTTTTGTTTCCGAAATAAATTAAAGTTTTATTACATGAGCATTGAATAATTATGTTGGATTGACATTAATTATATGCATCTAATAAATACATAAACGTAATTGGGAAAAAATTAAGAAGCATTTTATTCTAATTGCTTTTGATCATCTCTGCTGGATCAAAATCTCAATCCGGTAATATATAACTAATATTTTTATTGTACACATCATTATCTACGTACAATCTACCTAACTGCATTGTTATTTTTGTTTACAAATTGTTTATAAGCGTGTATTATGCGTATACACGTATTATTTCATATTTAGAGTATTTTAATCTTTGATTTTTATATCTCTCCATCTCTCTGTGTTGTCACACACACAATACACTTGCATATCGATTATTACTTACGCATTGTATCTGTACACCTATCATTGTTTGACTCAATTTTCTTTTCACTTAATCCTTTCCTTCTTTTATTTTTACTAAACGCTCCTTATCCGTAATGCAATTTTTTTAGTTACTTTATTTTCTTATCGCCATGAATCGTTCCTGAAAATGCACAATCTTTTTATTTTATACTGTTATTTTCTATTATTGTTCTCTTCAATTTCTTCTTCATTTCTGTATTATTCTCGACTACTCTGTGTTTTTTTTTTTTCGTACAAGTTTATATATTTTTTTATTAAAACTTTTCTTTAAATTTTCGTATGTTCTTTCTGCAGCTTGATATACATCCCTTGTAACAAAATGAATGGTGGTTTTTTATCCGATGTCCTCGACAGATCGGTCGATCTCTCGATTGCCTCTTGTTGCATGATCAACTTATAAGTAGACGGGCATACGCGGACATATATACGTGTATATGTATGTTATAAATGTAGCACATGAAGCATGATAAGTCATTGCTCACCAATAATCAACGCGAATCAGCGCTTTAAAGCAGTTTAAGGCAGTTTAAAATGTTAGTTCGTAATTGTTGGAAAAGTTTCTTTTAAAATCTCTTTTAAAGATAATTATCACTAGTTGTAGATAATTATTTCTATTTTACAACATTATACTTTATTTTAAAATTCTGATTACAGTCTAGCTTAAAAAAATTTTCATTTAAAATCTTATAACAATTTGCATTAATTATTTTGTAAAAAGCTATAAAATATATTAAATAAAAAAGTTTTAACTGAAAAAGAAACCGGCATTCAAAATTAAAAAAATTGTAACAGAAAAAAATATTCCAAATCTTTATATAACGTACAAGTATTTTGGAATCTGTTGCACAATTGACATTTTTTAATATTAAAACTCCATACGACAGAACACATAGCAGATCTTAACAATTTATTATGATAAAAACTTGCTGTTCTTTGTAGTCACCGGCGCGTAACTCCGACGACATTGATCAAAATTATTCCTGTAGAAAATATAGCTCGCGTTGGCTCGATAGTCACTGCAGACGCAATTGATTAACTGCCTTTTAAATATTTTTCTCGCATGTATCGCCGACGCATATT